CTTCTTTCTTCCGTATTCCCCCTCTATGAGAGACGGTACTTCAAAGTTTGATGCAAAAACGCATGGCCGCATCGGTTCGCTTGGTGCGTTCCAGCGTGGGTTTTTGTTTGTTTATATGTGTCTGTCTGTTTGTCTGTCTTTTTGTGTGTATTCCTGGTTCCCTTTATAAAACTGATGGCCTTTTTATGGCAGCTCGCTGCTCGAGATTCCCGGATGCAGAGATTCTACCGAAAGAAATGGAAGAGTTTTGGTCTGATTGTGATCTTTCGAAAATTATTGTTATTCGATAACTCCAAATTGGTTTGTTTCCAGTGCTGTCAGTTCTGACCGGGTTATGCTAATCATTGTTCGCATTGTTCTTTGTTCCTCTCACACTGCGCATGCTTTTCGCCCATCTGCATCACTTTCATTGTGCATTTTAAATGTCTGTAAAATACAAGAAGTTGATAACTGTTGTCCAGTTCGTTGTGTACACGCTCGCCCCATCGAATCATACTACCTGAAATGTCCGCCTGCTTTCCCTTACCTGCCATTAAACGATTCGTGTATACCCATGCCGATCTGCAGATTTGCGTTTGAAATCATAACAGGAAGGGATTTTGAATGTGCCGCTCGGCCCTCGGTTTATCCGCAGACGATGATAATAGCTGAATTCGCAGTTGTCTTCTCGCCTCTTTTCAAATATGCAGCGTGTGTTAACTGCGAGGAGCAGACTTTTGCACGATTTCGAAACAATCGTAAACCTCGGAGTGCTATGGAATATGCTTTTCAAATCGGCATGTTTCAGTAGCGATGTGTTCTAGAGATGGTGCTGCTGCAAGGGTTGGTATTTGGACGCATACTCATGGATTCGCTGGCACGGCGGGGTGCTCGTCCAACCGTGGCGACAGCGCGGCAGTTAATGCTGCAACGGCCGCGAACAGGGCGCAGAGTAGCAGTGCATCGGCGTTTCAAACGTACAGCAACAAACCCGTTTGAAGCGAATGAATTGTTGAACAGGTTGGGTGGGAGCTCGATTCGTTGTTTGTCCTCGAAAGCGGCTACAGCATCGACATCATCTGCGGCAACATCAGCAGCAGATGCTCTCAAGGACGAAGTATGGTATGTTCTGATGCGTTTTTGCGTGCTTGAGTAGTATGAGGTTGCCCGCTTTTAGTCGCTTTGCTATCACTTAAATCTAAAATAAGACTAATGCAAGCACTGGTACATTCGCTCTCAGATTTCCTCCGCGCTGTTCGAAAATTCTTTCTCCTGCTGAGCGATCGGTTGAGCATTCTGTTAAATCGGGCGCGGTCTTCATTTCTGTAAACAGTTGTCTCATTTCCTAGGTAAGTTCTCGATTGAATTTACTGTTTTAAAGGATACCAGTATATCGATTTCGTGGGATCCACTACGGAGTCGTTGCTGCAAAGACGAAATTGGCATTGGCGCTTTCTAGTATCGTGTTAATCCCGTACAAATGCTGGCAGTTTATTCATGATTATATATCTATCGAACATTTGGCTTCGGTTTCGGCATTCGCCTCATTTGCCACTCTAGCGCTTATATTTTGCTCCAGGTGGCGTTACAACTTCATGTGTAAATCGAGTTTTCAGCGTTCATAACAAATACTTGCATCGCTATTTTGCAGTCCTCCTATTAGTTTATCCATCGATTGAAAGTCCACTCGTGCATTTGTTTTATACAATATTCGCGTCTTTTTTTGATGAATGGCAAAGAAACCAAAATTCTCTCGACATATTTTCCAAACAGAAATAGGAAATGGCCATTGTTTTCTAAAACTCTTTTAGGCGTCCTGTCAATGAAAATAATTGGCCAACACACGGGCTGCCCGTGCAAAGATGCGTTTTTTGCATACTTCCCCGCAGTTTTTGTCGCTACTGGTACCGGATTTTCCGGCAAATGCTTCTAGCTAAACAAATTAAGACTGA